CCGGCGGCGGCGGCCCCGGCCCCGCCGGCTTCCTCCTCCTCCTCCGCCCGCCGCCGCCGCGCCGCCATGTTGGGCGGGAGATCAGGCCGCTGGGCCCGGCCGCCAGCGCCGGCCAACGCCCTGGCTTAGGCCTAGCCGGGCCCGGCCGCTTCTCCGCTCGCCCCGCGCCGGCCGGGCCGGGCCGGGCGGGGGTCCCTTCCGCGGGGGAGGGGGCCGGGCCGGGCGGGGCCGGGCCTCCCGGGTGCGGGGCCCGGCAGGGGATGGGGGCGCCTGGTGGGTCTCTGCCGAGGACGAGCATCCGCCCCCTCCTTGGAGGGGCACGAAGGCGGCGTGGGCCCCCCTTTTAGTGCCCCCAGCCAAGGGGAATCCTGCCCCTGCGTGGCAAGAGTGAAAAACCAGGATTGCGTGGGGGCCCCTTCTATGTAGGATCGCCAGGCCAGAATGATTTGGGGCTCCCCGTTTTGGGGTCGGCGGTCCCCCTTTTTTAGGATCCCAAACTGGGCAGAATTTGGGGTGACTGAGAGGAGACTCAAGGGGGTGGGCAGAGCTTCTCCTTCTATTGTTCTTACACTTATTGACACGTTGACTGGGCCAGAGTAAGGTCAGTAGGTTTTTCACCCTGTCTCACCACCTGCCAACCCCGCAAAGTAGGCTAGACTGGAAAAAGAAATTCCTGGCATCCAGCAAGCTTCCTGGCCGAGCGCTGGAAGCTCTTCCCGCTGCTCTGTATTTTCATAATTATTGCAGTGTTTTTATTCCCGCTTTTCTCAGGGCAGTACAACTTATGTTGTCCTCAGAACAACCCTGCGGGGTCGGTTAGGAAGGCGGGGTGCATGCCTGTGGCCGAATTTTTCCCAAGACCCCAGGGTGGGATGCATGGGTGACTGAGAATGACCTCCTTGAACCCAGGTCTCCTGGGGCTAGCACAGTCACCTTCACAGGTCGTGGGCTGCAACTCATAATTCCTGGCCAGAAGCCAGGGAATATGGGAGATGTAGTCTAAAAGATCCAGAGGCACCAGGTTGCTTCCTCATGCTCTTGCCATGAGGTGGCACGCACTCCCATCCCCTGGTCATTGGCTTCTCACGTTATATACCTCGTAAAACTGACTTCCTGGGGAATTTTACAGTGATCCTGTTTGGAGGGTGTAGAGGTTCTTACGGGGTCAGAGAGCAGGGGTTTCAAAAGTCTGGAAGGTTCAGGAGTTGCAATGGGACCCGTTCAAAACGATTCTTTTCTGCTCTGCCCTAGAGTAAGGCCGTTGGCAGGGAGGGCTGGGGGCAGTATTTTAATAGGGGGGCAAATGTTCAGATCCGTTCCAGGCCTTCATGACTTGGTGAGGTATAAATGGGCCCCCTCCACAGCATGGCAGGAGGTCTGAGGCGTCCGGGGCAGAACCAAAAGGTGCGTCCGAAGTCATCCCGGACCTTGAGTGGTGTTGCACCTGACCGTGCTGCTTGCGTGGGGCACGTCCTGCAGGGGAACAGCACCTGGGCAGCCCTGTGTTGCTGATAGATGGGTTTCTTCCCCCTGCCCCTTTCCAGGAGCCCAGGCTGCGTCACGTGGTCCTCTTCCTCTCCCACACCATTCACACAACAACCTTGTGAGGTGGGCCAGGCAGGCTGACATCAGTGAGTGTTCCGAAGGCACCCAAGGAGCTCCTTGGACAGGTTGGGGCTAAACTCGGACCTGCTGAGCCCAAGTCCAACCACCTCTCATTGGCTTTCTCCCTTGGTTACCTTGGTCGGGGCCTGTTTCTCCACCTTTCTGGATTATGTGAAGGTCAAAAGGGGCCCTGCAGAAGCCAGTGTGGTTTGGTGGCTGGAGCGCTGGACTGGGCCCGGGCCGCCGGGGTCGGAGTCCACATTCAGCCAGGAAGCTCCGTGGGCGTTCGAGGGTCAGTCGTGGCCTCTCCGGTCCCCCACCTCGCAGGGATGGGCAAAATGGAGAGGGAGAAATTCAGGCTGCCTGGGGTACCTTCCAAGGGAAGAAAACATGGGATGCAAAGAACACCAGATGATGTTCGGTCACGTGGGCGTCAAGGAGTCCACGGCTGCGTGGCCAGGATCCGTGCCCAAACGCGCAGGGAGCCCTTTTCCAACTTCGGACTCTCCACTGTTTTGGAACACAACCCCCATCATCCCTGGTTGTTATCCAGGCTGGCTGAGAGAAGTTGGGAGGTAACAGTCCTACCGCCGTGGAGGCTGCGATGTTGGAGAAGGATCTCTCGGGGCGCACGTGTGCCGAGGCAGGTGGCCCCCGGTTTGAACGTCAGAAGATCCGGGGTGTCCATTCCTGGAAAGACCCCTTCCTCTGAACGGAGCGCACGTCTTGCCTTGCCAAGCGGCCGGCTGGTTTGAGGTGGCCTGGCCGGGGTTGCGGGCAACCTTGGCTCCAATGTACTGGCCATAATTTCTCTACTTTTCCCGACCGTCACGTCTTTGGGGGAGACACCTCCTGGGGAGGACAGGAGTTGGTATCTGACCCTGAGAGGCCGCTGGGTTGGTGGAGGCCAAGCTCTGGCGTGTCCCCTATTAAATATTCAGTACGAAGGCGCTGGCTAGGAAATGGGGCCGCTCAGGGCACTGCCCCACGGTGGGCCCGTGCATACAGGAGGAGGCCAGCTTCTATCCTCCGAATGCTCTCCTGCAGCAGAAAAACCCAAACCTGGAATATATGGGGGGGGTGATTCCTCCCCACATGCTGTGAAGCCTCAGGGGATCCGAAGGAACCAGCCTTTTTTTTCTGTGCGCTGAGAACCCTCGGTGTGGATGCCGTTCTGGCAAAACGCGTCTCGGGTCATCCGTGGAGGCAGGGCCGGTTTGTGATCCACCGCAGCGTTCCTTCCATGGTTGTTTGCGTTCGGGAACACCACCCTCTTTACCGGCTTCCCCGCCTGCATGATTTCCTTGTGGCTTTATCATAGCAACAGCGATAAATTACAGTAGTACCGGCCATATTATATCTTGTTTTTCCATCGTTAACCCCCAAGGTGGCTTGGAATAACAGTGTTTGAAGAGGCCCGCTCTTGGGAAAGACTCTGAGGAGGGCCGTGGGGCAGACCTCTCCTATGGCAGCCTCCCCCACCCCGTGCCATGCTGGCTCGGGCACAAGAGTTGTCAGGGCCGTAGATCAGGAAAGCTTTCGGTGCCACAATTAAAAAGGCACCGCTTCGTAAGGGCTTTGTGGTGTGTTAGACAATGCAGCCAGGGCAGGCCAGCTGGGACCCCCCCCCCCCCGCCCGGATGTTCAGGGCCACAACAACCATCGGCCTTGCTGGCTGGGGCTTATGAGAGCTGTAGTGCAAAATCTCTAGAAGGTGCTGGGGTGCTTGCCCAGGTGCTGGGGCTTTAAACATGGTGGCTTTGGAGGACGAATGCTTGTCAGGCAGGTTTGTAAAAAGACGCTCCAGTCATTCTGCACATTCGGAGTTCTGGCAGCACAAACACTTGTTTATTCCCACACTGGTGCGGGAAGCGCTGAGCCGAGATCGTGTTACCTTACCCACAGACCTCTCGCACTACAAAAGCCGTAAACCCCAGCCAAAAACCGCTTAATAGTTGCATCCGGTCCATTTCCTGTAGTGGGGTTCTCTTTGGTTCTCTCCCGCTGCGCTGGTGTGGGCCGGATCATCGCAACGTAGCTGTCCCGGACCGCTGCGTTTTGTCTCGTGGTCCTGAGTCCCCAGCCACCCCTCCCCGTTCACACCACAAACCACAGTTTGCAAACTCTGGGGGGCCTTCCTAATCTGGCATCTTCCACAGACAGTGGTCGTGTTACCACCTGGAGGATGCTGGGAGCTGCAGTTCCATCAGCTGCAGGTCTGGAAGCTCTGCTGGGTGACCTGAGCTGGCAGTGTGCTGAGCAGGGCCACACGGCTCGACTTATTTAGCTTCCGTGGGTCCCAGACCAAAACTGCTCTCGGTTCAGCTGAGGGAGGGCCACCGGCTCTCTCCCTGCCTGCACGGTTCTGGATTTTGGCATCCGCACGTTCCGTTCCGAAGCCTGCGGCCCGGCTGTCCGCTCCCTCCCTTTCCAGGCCTCTCTCTGAGCATCTCGGGGATTGTCCCCCCACCTGGATATGGAAAGTTTCCCCTATTGTCCTTTTTCTCCCTGCCCCGTGGCTGCTCTTTTCTCCCTAAAATAGGATTGTATCATTTTGCTTCAAGTGAGCAACGCTGTCCCCATCTTCCATAGGAATGAGAGGTTGCTCAGAGTTCTCTTCACCTCTTCAGCCTCCCCACATCTCCTTGTGGGTCGTAGAATAGGGCGCGCGACGTGGCAGCCACGCGCAAAAACACTTGCCTCCAGCTCTGAATACTGGGACCGAACGAGGACGGGCTTCTTCCCGGCGCAGTACAATGTACTTTCGGCGGCCGCTTGTCCCGACTGCAACCTCCAGGCTCAGGAGAGGTTGCGTGTTGAGCGGGGCTGCAGACCACAAGCAACGCGTCGAACATTCGGGGGACTTGAGGGCAGGGCGGGCTTGCGTAAAGTTTCTTGCGAAAAGAGATCCGTCGACGGCCGCTCTTTAACGTGTGCGTTGTCTCCCCCTCCCCGCTACAGGCTACAGTGAGCTCAACGGGAGCGTCGGAGAAAGAGACTCCTCCGCGAAGGGCCTGAATGCCGGCGATGCCCCCAGCCCCATTTCGAGGGTCCCCAATGGCAGCCAGCCTCCCGGGGACGCTTCCCTGGCGCTTAAGCAGGGCGTGAAGGGGGGCGCCTATGGGAAGCCGGGGCTCAGGGCCAAGAGCTTTGTCGTGAAAGGCGGCATGGACAAAAAGAACGAGAAATATTACGAGGGCAAGACGAGGGAGGCGTCCTCGGACAAGGCGGACGGCCTCTCCATCCCCAACGGCGTCATCGCGAACAGCTCCGGCTACATCACCAACGGCTACGTCGGCAAGGGGGCGGACGACGGCAGCGGCTCGGAGAGCGGCTACACGACGCCCAAGAAGCGGAAGGGCCGCCGCAACAGCGCCAGGGGCTGCGAGAACTTGAACCCGGTGCAGGAACCGCCCGCGCCGCCAGAGCCGCCCGTGGCCGTCCCGGCCCCCAAGCAGGAGCCTGAGGGCTTCAAGGTGGACTGCGCCGAGCCCAAGCCGGGGAGCCACGCCGACGGCCTCAAGCCCGCCTGGAAGTGTGAGGCCGGGGGGCTGGGGGCGGGCCGCGGGAAGCCGGGTGTCGGGGAAGCACCGCGGAAGAACTCGGATGCCAAAGTCGGGCTGGCCAGCAAGAAGTTCGAGGATCGGCCCAAGGGGAAGCACGTGCCGCCGGCCGCCGCCTCGAAAGAGGACTCGTGGACCCTCTTCAAGCCGCCCCCGGTTTTTCCGGTGGACAACAGCAGCGCGAGAATCGTGCCCAAGATCAGTTATGCAAGCAAAGTCAAAGAGAACCTCAACAAGGCCGCGCAGAACCCCGCCCCGTCCCTCTCCTCCTCCTCCTCCTCTTCCTCCTCCTCCTCCCTGTGCTCCTCGTCCGCGGTGGAAGCCCCCGTGCAGGCCCCTGGCCGCCTCTCGCAGGTCCCCATGTCCGCCATGAAGTCCGTGACGTCGGCCAGCTTCTCCAACGGGCCGGTCCTGGCAGGGGCCGACCGCGGCACGTGTCCGGCTGGGAGCCCCGCGCTGCTCGTTCCCGCGTCCGGCGCCGTCCTTTCGGCGGCCTCGGAGCTGCTTCCCCAGGAGGGGGGCCTGGCGCCGGGGGCCGCGGAGCCGCAGAAGTCGAGCCTTTTTATCTACCCCTCAAATATGCAAGCCTTGCTCACGGCCGCCGCGCAGGCCGAGGCCCCGACCCCCGCGAGTCAGCATAGCCTGGGCGACATCTTCCAGAACCAGTGGGGTTTGTCGTTCATCAACGAGCCCAGCGCGGGCCCCGAGGCGGCTGGGCAGAAGCTGCTGGACACGAAAGCGATGGAGGTGATATTTCAGGGGGACGGCCCCGCCGTTCTGGGGCCCCCGGCGGCCGAGACGGCTCCCCTGGGCCCCGACCCGCCTGTGTTCCCCAAGGCTTACGAACTGGACAAACGGACTAGTCCGCAGCTCCTTGGCGGCCTGCTAAAGCTGGGGGTGTCCGGCGAGGGGGGCGGCTTTCTGCTGGAGCCCCATCAGCCGGGCGGCTCGCGGCAGGCGGGACCCGGGGCCCCAGGGGCCTTCGTGTTCCTGGCCAAGGACTATCACGTAGAGAACCGCCTGGCCTCCCCCACGAACAGTTTGTTAGCCTCCGCCGAAGAACAGAGGTACCAGAGAGGCCTAGAAAGAAGAGCGAGTTGGGGTGACTTTGACCTGCGGGCTGCCATTCTGTATCACACTCAAGGTAACGGCTCACCTGTCGGCCTCCGCGGGAGGAGCCGCGCTACCCTGCTCCCTCCCGGCGGCCGGGCCGGCGCCTCCCACGCCGCAGCCGGAGGGGCTGGTGGCCGGGGGCCGGGCGCTCGGCTCCGGGGGGCTCGGCCGGCCGGGGCCGCTTCCTAGCCCGCCGCCGGGGACCCTTGGAGATGCACCGACGGCGCTGGGCAGCCGTGGCGAAGGCTGCCTGGGTCCCCCGTGCCGTTCCGGTGCTCTTCTTCCCTTGAGGGTCTTCCGTTCGCTGCCCACGGCGCGAAAATCGAGGCCGCTCGTGCTCAGGCGCCATGTCGGGGTGCTGCCGCCGTGGTGTGTGGGACTCCCCCGTCCCCAGCGGCGTGATTTCTGGGGCGTCGGGAGGAGGGGAGGGCCGGGACGGACGGCGCCTGGGGTCTCCTCACCCCAGGGGTGTTCTCCTTCCTCATGGGCGGTCCCACCTCCAGGATGCCCGCAGCGAGTGCGGCACTGCCACGTGGACCGGAGGGTCTGGGCCTGGGCCCAGTTGGACCCCCCTCGGGATGCTGCCCTTCGGCACTCCGTGTCTGCCCCGCACCGTCGGGGGCACCGCTCGGGGCCTCGGGCAGCGGAGGAGCTTCTCTGTGGGCACCCTGCGCCTTTTCCGGTTCAGTGGCCGGGTCTGAGCTGAAGGCCGCTGGGTGCGGAGCGGGGGGGCTGCCACAAGCCCCCTCCCCGAGGGAGCCCCGCTTTTCCAGGAGCCCCCTGGCCGCAGGGCCCTGGGTGGAAAAGCGCCCCCAGCGGGGAGCCTGCCGGTGGCTGGGCCAAAGATGGGGAGCAGCGGGGGCTCTTTGAGCCCGCCTGTCACATAAGGGAGGTCTGAGGTGGGGTGGGGAGCCGCAGCAGAGGTTGCCAACCCCATCCCCCATCTTCCTGCTCCCGCTGACTGGCACTGATGGGCATTGTAGTCCGGCAGTATCCAGAGGGTGCCAGGTTCTGGACCAGCTGAGGAGTTCTGGGCTTTTCGAGCCGCGGGGGGTGCCACATGCCGGGCGGCTCTTGCCGGCGGCTGTGATCCCCCTCGGGCCTCGCAGCCGCTCCTTCTCCCTCCGCCCCACCCAGTTCGCTGCCTCCGTCTTCCACCCGAGCAGGCTGCCCATTCCGAGCGGCCCAGCCGGGCTCAGCGCGCTTCAGTGGCCAACTGGGTCAGGAAGACGAGCCGAGTTGTGCATTTGTGCATGTGCTCGCACTGGCAGGGCCTGCCTTGCTGCTGAGCGAAGGCGGGGGGGTGTCCCCGCCCCACCTTCCGCTTTTGCTTTGGATCCACCAGGCCGCTCTGCTGTCTCCCTGCTCTTTCCCGGGAGACTGAAATCCGCGGCCTGTTTGCGGGTCCTGATCTCCCCCCTGTGGAATCGGACTTCGCCAGGCGGCCCCACACCAGACCCACGGGGTCCGGCTTCCCTCATCTCCGGCAGCCGTGGCTGTCGGGGCTGGGCCGTTCGGGCCGGCCAGGGACGATGGCAGTGGTCAGCCAGCAAGAACCGGGCCACCGACTTCTGGGCGACGGTTGCGGTCGGGGCGGAGAATCAGCGTGGTGTGCCGGGCTGGAGCGGATCGTGGGGGGCTCGGCCAGAGGGGGGCAGCCCTGCCCATGGTCTCATGGGTGGTTTCCTGGGAACGGGCTCTCTGGCTCCTGCCCGGAAGAGGCATCCTTGGCCCCCCTGGAAGCGGGCTCCTGCCGCGGCCCTGCTGTCCCTCCTGCGTGTCCGTAACCTTTGGGCCCCCCCTTTCCCGAGCTGGTGCCTTCCGGATCTGCCGTGGGAGCGCTGGCAGCTGCCCTCTCAGCCCCTCCGGAAGGCCCCAAGTTGCCGGAGCCCGTGCAAAGCCGGCTGGGCCGGTGGGAGCTGAAGGGGCTTTCCCGGCACACCCCGAAGGTGGGAAGCGAGCGTCTCGGCTGACAGCCGGAGCACTGACCCTTTCGCCTTTCTTCCCCCACAGAAATGGAAAACCTCCGTAACCTGCAAAAGCAAGGTAAGGACCTCGGGCACGGCGCTTCTGGCGGGGCGGCCGAGTCGCGTAGAGGCGTGGAAGCGAGCCCGGCCACGGCCGTTGCGGCATGCGCCTTCGGCGAGGGGGCATCCGGGCTCGCGCCCCGTCTGTCCGCCGTGGCGTCTGTGTGTGCCGGCGCAGCTTCACGCCCAGGACCGGGCCCGGGAGAGCCGTGCTCCGGCCTCTTCCGTGCCCGCCTGGCCCCGGGCCGCCTCGGGGAGCCTCCGCCTGCCGCCCTCGCTCCCCTGGGGACGGGAGCGTGGGGGCTGAGGGCCACGGGGTCGAGCACGTGCCCGGCAGGGTTAGGGCCGTGCAGGAGGGCCCGTGCTGCCTTCGTCAGGCCCGCGGTGCGTACGAGCCTCAGCGGGACTCGCTGCCTGGCCTTCGCTGCTCGGGCTGCCCCCGCCTGGGCCCGAGCCCCCGTGGAGAAGGGTTCAGGGGAGCTGGGGGGGGGCGCAGCCCAGGTGACGGCGGGAGCAGAGCAGGCCCGGCCTGGGGAAGAGGCGCCCAAAAGCACATGGCAAATGCTTTGCAGGGCAGGGAGACCGCCGGGGAGCCGAGACACCTCCTAGGGGCCGTCGGTGGGGCAAACGGGAAGCTGCGGGTGGCCCCCCGGCCGGGGTCTCACGCCGTCTTTGCCCCTCTCTCCCAGATCCCAAGAGGATACCCACTTACGACGAAGCCATGGACCACCCCGACCAGTGAGAGGCGCACGGGGCCACTTGCCGGTGGTTCTCCTCAGCAACGGAGCCGTCCCTGGGAAGGGGGTTTGCAGAGGCGCCGTTTCAGAAATTAAATACGAGGCCGCGGCATGACGAGACTTCACGAGGAACGGGGCAGAGGCACGCGTTCTGCGGTTATTTAAACTTCAGTTCTGGATTTCTCACCTCATCCCCCATCCTGCCTCTCTGTCCTTGGCCCCTGCCCTCTTCCAGCCCTGGAGGGGGGCACAGACTTGGCCCGGCCCGGCCCGGCCCCAGCTCCGGACTTCTGCGGGAGGGCACGGCTCGCCTCGTCGCTTTCCCGGGACTCTGCGGTCGACGGTAACACACTAACCACAGGGAAGGTGGATCCTTGCCCCCCCCGCCGACCCCCACCTTCCCTCCAGCCTCACGCTCGCTTCTCCCCGATTCCTACCCTCCACCGCCCCCGTTTTCGTTTTACTGGAATGTTGCGGAAAAGAGGTGGAGCAGTGGGGCGGGCTCGAAACATTGCCGTTTAAAAGGAAAAAATCTCTCCCGCCCTTCGGCCGAGGCTGAAGTGGGGGGAAACCTGTCTTAAAATGCGGCGCGCGTCATTCCCCCCCCGCCCCCCATTCACGGAAAAATGTCCACCTGCAATTCTGGAAATCTACACAGACGCCAAAGCACTTGGTTCTACTCTGGGGCACCGATGGGACACCTTCACAGCCACCGTCCGAAACTGGATCGTGGGGGAGGGACGGACACTACAGAGACATTCAGGGTCGGGGGGGGTGTGTGTGTGTATGTGTGTGGAGATTTTAAAAAGTACAGCAGCCCCATTCCTATCACGCGACACCCTCTTCCCCCGGGAGCAAGCCAAAAACAAGTACGTTCCAGTTTATAGGTACCGTGTGTTTTTCCTTTGTCGGCACCGGAGGATTCCCTTCCGGCCGGATCCTCCGTCGCAAAGCTCACCCGCAAGGGATCCGTGTTCTTGCGAACTTCAGACAGACTCACGAGTTGGTTCTCGGTGGAGATTCGTTCTTCGAAGGGGAGGAAACACAGCCCTGGCCTTCTTTGCCCCATCTCGCCGCCCTCCCTCCGGCTCGCTCCCGTTCGTGCTCTCAGTAGGAGCGCTGTTCCCCGGTCTTGACACTAACGGGTAACGGGGGACGCCGTCTCCCCGCCGTCTGCGAATCTGTCTTCCCCCAGCCAGTTCTGCCCCGTGAAGGCAGAACCCGGAGGAGCGGGGCTGCTGGTGGCCGGTCGAGTCGAGGCAGTCCTCTGCCCCCTCCGGGTGCCCGTGTGGGGGGCTGGCCGCACAGGCGGTGGGACCTCCGTGCAGCGTCGGCTGGCCAGAGGAAGCCCTCTGACAGGGATGGGAGGGCACCTGGCCAGCGGACATGGCTTCGACGCGCCCCCTGGGGGGGGAGTGGCGGGGCTCCCCCACCCCACAGAACCGCCCTCCACCGCTTTGCACTTGGTGCGTGTGTGTGTGTCTTGCACAGGCCTCCAAAAGCCCCCTTTCGACGGCTTCTGTCCAAGCCCGCTGCTCGGGACAAGCCGAAAGTGAACGAAACCATGCGCCCAGGGCCCGTGGCAAGACCGCGGGACTCCCTGCCCCCCCCCCCAGCCGTGGGGTTTCCTTCCCCGCCTCCCAGTAGGCTGTGGGGCTGCCCCCTCCGTCCTCTTGCGAAGCCTTCCCCTTAAACTCGCGTGCACGCAAGATCCCCACCGCCCTGGTGGATCGGGCCGGCGTGAGGCGGGCGGCTGGCTCCTCCGACCCCGGCGGGTGGGAGGGCGAGCGCCTCCGTGGCCTGCGCTGAGCCCCACGGCCGCCGCAGTCGGAGGCCCCTCACGGGGCACCCTGCTGCTCCCCCCCCGAGCCCCCCCTTTGCCCTTCCTATGTCAGGAGCCCCCGGTTTTTGTGTGAATTGGGGGGGGCACACGGAAATAATCCTAATGTATATGGCATAATTATAATTTTCCCCGCTAGCTCAAGAGTATTAGTACTGTAGCATAAACCAAATACAGGCAGTGTGTGTGCGTGCGAGCAAGCGTGCGTGCATGCGTGAGCGTGCGAGTGGCGCGTCCCTCCCTGGGGTGGTCCTTGTGCGAGCCGCGGAGTCGCGCTCGGATCTGTCCGCCTGCTCCTCTTCGGCACCGGGTCCTGCCGGCTTGCCCCCACTTGAATCAGGCGCCCCGTCTAGAGCCGCGTCGCCTCTGCCCGGGAGAGGCCAGAGGGTTTCCAGGAAGGGCCTGGGAGCTCCGGTCCGGCGTGCTCGCGCCGCCTGTGTCTGCGTTTTCCTCCTTTCCGGTGCTTGGCACTTTGCACGGGCTGTGACGGATCCCAGCGTGAAAGGGCCGCCGGGTGCCCTGAGCCGTGGGCCCGCACAGCCGCTGGCTACCACGTCGGGGAAACGCTCTTGCGGTGCTCGAAGCGGGTGCGGACGGCACCGCAGGAGCCCCTGCGCTCCTTGGTTGCCTCTGTTGTGATTATTCTTTTATTTGGGGGGTAGTTTTTCATGATCAGGTTTTCTAAAAACACTCTTGGGCGAAGGCTCCCTTCTGGTAGAATGACTTTTCTTCATCCATGTGTTAATCCGGGCAACGACCAGAGTGTGTTAGAAAAATTTTCTCGGTTTCAGACCTCCTGTTGTGTTGCAAGCCCAACAGAATCGAACTGTCGAGGGCGGAAGGGCTCCGGCCGACCAAAACCAAATCTCCGAATCCATTTCAGCAGCCCGCACCCCTTTTGCAAGGGCGCTGCATGGACTCGGGTTCCGGGCAACTTCTTACAGGGGTCGCCGTCCTCGGCTTCCGTGGCCGTGGCAGCCTGGGTCTCTAACGCAGCGCCCCCAGCGAGGCCCGGCCTGGGACCACAGTGCATCCTGGCTCCTCAGGCGCCTTGCAGGACCGGCCTGGGCAAAATCCATGTTTCTTAACGGTCCGTGGAGCCCAGTTTCCTGGGCTTGTGTCACCCTGGTGGCGAACGCAGACGTAGCTGAGTTTGTGGCATCCTCAGCTCCGGTGTGGAGTCGTGGCCTCGGAGTCGTTTCCCCTGCATCCAGAAGGTTCAAGTTGTCTCGCCAGGGTGTGCTGGCAGTAAGCCCTCTAAGTGAAAACAGGCAGTTGGGATGCCGTTGCTTGCGTTCGAGGCCTGCCCGCCTTGGCCCCGTCCCCCATGGGAATGCGGCCTTGGAATTTCCCTGGAATTTCGCTTGGCCCTCGGGCTGGTTAAAGGGCCCTCTCCTTTAACTCCCCTGGGGAGAAGGCTCGGTTTGGCTGGGGAAGCGGGCCGGGTTCCCGTGCTCCGTTCGGAAGTGGTGGAGCGCCCACCCCTCTTGGCCTCCGTCGTGCTTGTTCGGCACGGGTCTGGTGCACGTCCGGCGGCCCTGCTGCCTCGGCTCAGTCGCCCCTGAGTCGTCGTCTGGCACCACCACCCTGGCAATTTCGGGATCTTTTGGGGAGCACGGGTGGCGACAGAGGCCTGCATGGCCCTTTTAGGGAGAAAGCGTCTGGAGGCTGGCCGATGCTTTCCGGCACCTTTGCGACGGGACCTGGCTGCCGTCGCCACGTCCTCCTCCCTCTTCGCCGATCTCTTGCGTGCGACGCACCTTTCCCGGGGGCGGCCGTGTCTTTAATATCTAAGCACACCTGACGGCATCGGGGCCAGTCGGGCCGTGCAGGGCGAGTCTGTGTCGCCGGCCCGCACGAGAGCTGCCCACCGAAAAGGCGCGCGGTGTCTTACCTGAGCCAGGTGCAGAACCTGCCGGCTCGCAGCGCGCGGCTTTCTGCCGTATCCGTGCGGCTGTGGGCAGACCGTGCTGCTCCGGGAAGATCGCGGCAGCCAGCCCTGGACTCCCAGGTGTGAGTCCACTTGTACATTACCTTTCGGGGCAACGCACCGTGTGGGCTCGGCGTGTAGGGTGTCGCGTTGGAGGGGAAGCGGTGCGCCGCCCCCCGTCGTACTTGTGCGGGGTCTTAGTTTAGTTGGGCAGCGAATGCGGGGAGGGGGTGTTGGGAAAGGGCGGGCCCTCCGCGCCGAGGGTCGTCCGGGACCCGTCGAACCCCACATGGACCCTGGTTTTTTTTTAATCTCCGCCCCATCCTTGGTGTACGGGCCCACGAGGGCGTGTCGGCATCTCCGGACACCTGCCTCTCTTCGTGTGCGTGTGCCTGCATCAGCTTTGCGTGTGTTGAAATTCTAAAAAAAAAATGCCTTTTGCACACTTGGGTTTCTCTGAAGCTCATTTGGGTGAGTGGGAGAGACGTTTAGTTCTTAAAGCAGATGAAATAAAAGTACATCTTACAATAACAGGAGCCAAATCCCGTCTGTGTTTCGTTGCTCAAAGTGACCCGTTGCTTGACCTCCTCTGTGTTTACTTGGGACGGGGTCTGTGCTAATTCGGAGGGGCCCGGTGGCCCCAGGAAGCCTCTTTGAGGACTGAACCTTCGGGGTGCTTCTAAGAAATGTGTTTGTGTTAACTTAACATATCGGGGACTTCTCCGATATACTGATCAGTCGGGAATTGCGGTGGGTGTGCTCCCTCACCCGTTACCCCAGTATTGGAGCGTGAATTGGGTTTAAGTTACCCCCTCCGTCGTTTCTCTCTTGGCTGGGTCACCCGCTCCTTGCAAACGTTGGAAATCTTTCTTCTCGCCCCTCTCCAGAGCCGCAGCGGATCTCTGTTGCATCTGCACTCTGTAGTTTCGGCCCTGAGATTTTGGGGGGTTCTGTGCGTGTGCACTTGGCTTGCAGGTGTCCCTTTTGCAAAAGCGAGGCGCAACCCTCGAACGCAGCCGCTCTGCACAGCTCGGTATCCTCATGTTGTGTGTGCAGAGTCCAAATTCCAGAGCGCTCGATGCGTCGAGGCCCCGAGGCCGCTTTGGTCCGGTGCGCCGAATCTCTCCTCTCCTGTCCAGGCCACCTTTCCCCACACGAGTGCAATTCACAGCATCCCCAGCCAGCCCGGCCGTGGGATGGTGGCGTTTTGTGCGTGTGACCCTTTGATCCCCTGCCCTGCCCCTCCCCATTTTATCTGACCACCCAGCCAAGAAAGAGTGGCTCACACCACCGCAGTCTCCCACCCACGGTGCTCACGGGGTCGTGGCCAGGCGCCCGGAGCCCACGAAGGGCTCCTCACGCTGCTCCCTGCGCTTTGGAAGCCTCCCGTTTGGTCGGTTCGTTTCGGGAGAGGAGGCCCATCCTCTTACTCTCTGGCCACATCTGTCTGGCTTGCTTTGGACCAGGGCAGAGAGGGGCCCAGTCCGCTGCCCGCCACTTCCGTTTCCAGGGACAGCCTTCCTCTGAAGGGGTCAACACAGTGGCGGGCAGTGAAGCTCCCCCCTTCCCTGCTCGGGGTCCAGATTTTGCACCCGGCTCGTTCAGGCCACAACTGTGTCCCCACCACGTGCCCAGAGCAGTGTGGTTAGTAGCCGGTGTGGCGAGGTGTTGGTTTTGGCCAAGGTGTGGGGAACGGCGATGCCCGTCTGCGTAGCCCGTGGGAAGTTCGGGGGTTTCCCTTTCCCTGCCCCCCGTTTTTCCCCCCGAGGGTTGGCTTGGGGTGGGCATCCGACTATTCAGACTGGTCTTTCTCTGGAAGGAGGAACTGGGTTTGGGGTGGGCGAAGGGCCTCAAAGCATCAGAAATTCCCTTCTTAGCACAACCTCCGTTAGGGCTGCTCAAGCCGGGTCAATTCTGTCCACTATGATATCCAAATCTCTCTCTTGCTCTCTCTCTTTTTACATACAAGGTCATGTTTGAATTCTATTCCACAACTGTTCTTAAATGTTATCAGTTTCCCACCCACCCACGCTGAGAAAAATCTATTTTATATTTTAATGAAAGAAAATAAAACTAAAAACGGGAGAGATGTCTGTGTAGAACAAATAAATTAAGAGAGATGCTACATGATGTAAATTGTTGAATAAACATTTAAGCTTCCAGGTGTCTGTTGGCTTTCAGTTCCCCTTTTGTTCCGGGTGTCCGGCGGCACCGGCGCTCGGGAATATGCCGGGCCTCCGCTTGCCCCGGGGCCCCAAGCAGGCCGGAGGGTCCCCAACGGGCAACTTCACTCCCACCCACCCTTGCATTCGACACCCCCATATCGAGGGGTGACCGAGAGGCGCACGGAACGCTTTCTGGTCCAGACACGGGCTTTCTTCCAAGGCATTTATTCAATACTCGTGACAGCAAAGGCTATCCTGGCCGGACGAGCTTTCCCAGGGCCACGGAGGGCTCGGCACCCTGCTGAGCGGGGGCTCCGGGGTGCACAGAGGAGCGGCCCCTCTGCTTCCGGAACCTGCGGCTCTACTGCTGGACGCGGCGGACCGACTGGACTTGGAACGTCTGGGCGTGCGAGCCCCACTCCCGCCAGTGCTTGTAGTCGCCGGCGTGGTGGTCGGACTCCAGGATGTACTGGTAGCCACGATAACCGGGGTACTGGTAGCAAACCCACCTGCAGAGGGAGTGCAGGTCACGTGGGGCTGGGGCCGGGGCAGACTCTCCTGGCGGCAGGGGGGCCGTTTGGGGCTGCAGGTCATGCCACCCTGGACCAAACGGGCCCCGGGGCAGCTGTGTTGGCCGAAGGTGCTCCAGGGTGGGGGCCAAGCAGCCTGGGGGGCTTCGGCCGTGGCGTCCGCCCCACCTCGTGTGTGGGGAAGGGCTGGGCCGTGTGGGCACGCCAGCCGCGTCCCCCAGAAGGGCGTCCTGCAGCGAGCGGGGCTGTGGCCCGCCCGGGGTGCCCGTGGGGGCCTGGCCATGGGGAGGGCTGCCTGGAGCAGCTGTCCGGTCACAAGGGGGCAGCCAGGCCTTTCTGCCGGGGCTCCCGTGGCGCGTGGCCAGCTCGGTGGGCAACCCGGGCCGCTGCAGCCGGCCATGCCTTCTCTCTCCAGCAGGTGTCGCTAGAACCGAAGGAGTGGGACGCCACGAGGGCGTCCCGGGCAGTGGCTGGGGGTGCGCCAGGCTCCGGCTGAGGCAGCGGTCCGAGCGGGCTGAGGCCCTTCTGCCCCCTCCCCACCCCCTCTGTCCCTGGAAGGGGGCCCTGGGCACTGGCTGAAAGGGCGGCCAGCCCCCCGGGTCACAGGCCGGCTCCCCAGAGTCCTCCCCGCCACCCCCTCCGCCCAGCCCCGACTCACGCGCCGCCGTGGATCTTCATGGAGCCGACTTCGTTGTTCCTCCAGCCCATGGCCTGCAGGGACGGGTAGTCGTCCTGGATCTCCCACTGATGCCCCATGAAGTTCTCCTTCTCGAAGAGGGTCATCTTGGACTCCTTGTGGTTCTGTGGGGCGGGACAGCGGCCCCGCGTGAGCCGGCCCGCACCTGCCCAGCCCAGCGCCCTGGGGAACGGCAGCCAGGGCGCCCGGAGTGCGTGCGGAGGGCTGGCCCCCACCCACGAGCAGTGCTGGATCGGCCTGGGGCGCTGGGCAGGGTCCCTGGGGTGAGAGTGCCTCCCAGGCGGGCGTGAGCAGGCGTGCCGGGGGCGTGTGTTCAGACGAGCAACGGGCAACTCCCGTGCCCTCCCTGTGGAGGCTCGGCCAGCAGGTCCCACCTCCATCCCAGTGCCTCGGGTGGTGGGTGGGCCCTTGGAAGACAGAACCCCCCCCCCCCGTTCTTCCGTCCCCCTCTGCAGCCCTCCTGGCTCACGCACAGCGAGGGCGGGCTCTGCAGCGGCCCGGGTGAGACTCACCGCCGAGCAGATGGGGCGGAAGGACATGAGCCGCTCCACATGGTAGGCGTTGCTGCCGCTCCAGGCCTCCCAGCGCGGGTATTCGCCGCGCTCCAGGACGAACTGCTGCCCGCAGTAGTTGGCGTGCTCGTACCCGAACCAGCTGCGGAGAGGCGGCGGCGGCGGCACGGTGGTCAGGCTCGGCTACGGGCGCCCGGGGGCCCACCCTGAGGAGGCCGCGGCCTCCTGCCCGCCCCGGACCCGCCGCCCGGGCCCGTGGCAGGGTCCGCGGGGCCCGCATGGGGACGGCACGGGCCTCCCTCGCAGGGGTGTGGTGGGGACGGCACGGGCGGCACGGGCAGGCTCGCGGGGCTGCGAGGGTCCCGGGGGGCCGGCCGGCCGGCCCCCACAGCAGCCCCCACCCGCCCGCGGGACGCACGGAAGGACGGCGCTACTCACGCCCCGCTCTCCACTTTGAGCGAGCGGATGGTGTCGAGGCCGCACTCGGCCGTGCCAGGGCAGGAGGCCGTGAACTCCATGCGCTTGCCCTGGAAGTTGTCCTGGTCGTAGACGGTCATCTGCAAGGGAGGGGCGCCGTCGGTGGCCTGCCTGGCCTTTCCTGCCCGGCCGCTTTGTGGGTTGTGGACCCCTAAAACCCCGAGGGCAGCTTAAATTGGGGAGAGGTTCCGGGGCTGAGGCTAACGGCAGAGGCCGGGGCCCAGACTGCCGGCACGGGGGAGCCCCACGCTCTCGGAAGGGGCTTCAGTCCTTTAGAGTGGGGGAAATTGTGCCAGGGCCTGGAAACCCCCAAACAGCACCTGGGGAACGGCACCTCGGCATGTGCCCACACGGGCTGTCTCCCAGTGGCGCCGCTCCAGGGCAGCCAAGTCCGGGCACATGGACCGCCGCCGCTCTTGCACCAACGCCCAGAAAGCCAGGCCCCCAAACGAGGGGCCCCCAAAGCCGGCCCTGCCCATCCGAGCGAGCCGGAAAATATCGGCAGCATCTGAAGTATGAAGAAGCGCCTGGAACGGGTCTGCGGACGCGGCACGCACCTTCCAGGGGCCGCCCTGTGCCGGCTGCGGGTTGGTTTGCGCCATCTTAGCCGCTGGGATGAATTCTGGCAGCGGGAGGAAAAAGAGACCGTGAAGCAGCGCTGGCCCGCTTTCCCGTCTGTCCGGAAGAGCAGGGGTGGCCCAGTCCCCGTGAAAGAGACCCGTCAGAAAGGCGTATCCCTCACCTACTCTTTTTACATATTTACGTGCTGCTTAGCATAAAAAGGCTCGGACGGCGCAGTTCGACAGCCTCCGGCAGGCCCAGGGCTTCTCTGGTGCTCCAGAGCAGAGGGCTGCTACCGAGAAGGCCCCATCTCGAGGGCCCAGCGCCCTCGCCTCTCCAAGCAGAGGGGTGCTAGCCGGGCTTCCGCCGGACGGGCGCATCCTGTCGGGAAAGGTCCGGAGCGGAGACGGCCCCGCTCGGCTCTCTGGAGGGACTCACCTCGCTCGCCGAAGGCCGACACTTCCTCCATGGGCCGCTCGCTGCCGGGACCCGCTCCCCCGCCTTATATAGCGCCGGTGGCCAGACGGGCCGGGCGGCTTTTGTGCTGGGGTCAGCGCGATGCATTCTCTGCCCCTGAGCCCTGCTTGATCCCCGGAGCTTTCAGCTGCTCGCCTCTGCTGTCCAAGCCGCATTCTTGGCAGGGAACGGCCCAGAGCACCCCCCGCCCCGCGGGGACGGCTGCCGGCAGGGATGGCAGGCTGGCTCCTCCCAAAAGTCTGTGCGTGTGTGTGTGGAGGGGACCCCTCTGCACAGCAGCCGTCCCCGTGACGCGGCCCTGGCCAAAATGCTCCCCTGGGGAATGAGAGGCCGGTCGGTGTGTGTGGGTGTGGGCGGGCAGATTGGGTAAAGCCTCCATGGTGTAAAAGCACCCCCAAATCGTATAAAGCAGCAGCTAAGGAGGAAGCTTGTGCCAGGAGCACTTTGGGGGGAGCCCCGGGGTGCTGGCTTTCGGCTGCAAAGAGGAGGAAAAGACCCTCCTCGCGGCCCTCGCAGCATTTGCCAGGAACTGGGGAGCCGGCTGATCGGGGCGGCCCTCCCCGCTGCTCCCCTCGGGTTGTGGGGAAGACATGAGGGAGGCCTCCTGCCCCCACGGGGCCACGCTGTGCAGCCAAAAGGCAGAGGGCGCTCCTCGGAAGCAGGCCGACGGCCCGGTGGCGTCCAGGCCGCGGCTCCGGCCCGAGGCACCGCGAGGGAGGGCCTGGCGCTGGCACGCGGGCTGCCGGCTCAGCACTTGGCGAGCGAGCGAGCGGCTTTTGTTTTTGCTTTTGCAAATGAGCCATCAGAAATGGAACAAAGCGCTCGGCCTTCCCGCCACCTCACCCGAGGGCTGCAGAGAGAGCCGGGCGGCTGAGCGCAAGGGGTGTGCAGGGCGTGGGCCGGGCCCTGCACCACGGCCGGCCTCGGCGCTCGCGGGCATCCTCCCTTCCCCTTCCGGGCGCCAAAAGCACCCACTGCCCTGCCGCTCCTTCTTTAACGGGGTCCCAACACCCCAGACCACCCCCCAGACTTCCCTTCCCCTCTGAGCTAGCTGCAGTTCTCCCAGTTTGGCCAGGGGGCAAACGAATGTTCCCAACCCCACAGTTCTTCCCCACTGTAATGCAAAGACTCTCGGCCCCAAATGGGCCATTCGGACAATTCTGCAGCACGACAGAAGCCCCCCCTCCTGCCGGAGATTTTCAGGGTCACAACCAGGCCCCCGTGTTTCCTTCCACTGCTGGAGCAGCCAGCTGATTTTGGCTGGGGGACAGCGGATTAGGGGAGGGCGACGGAGGCTCTGCGAGGATCCGAAAGGCCGCCGGGAGATGGGGCAGGGCCACGCGGGCTTGGCCTCCTTCAGAGTCACGCTCGTCCGGCTCATGCGCAGCAAGATACGTGCCTGCAGGACCTGGAGCGCCCCGGGGTCCCTGCGGGGACGAGGCCCCCGAATCACGCAGAGCCATGAGAAGCCTCGGGAGGCTCCAGAAAAGCTACCACGGGTGGCCACATAACCGGCACTCCGTAGCCGCGCCGTCCTGTCCCGGGTCGGAGCTCGGCCGAGCCAGGACCCCCGTGGTCCCGCCGTGCCACGGATCGGAGCAACTGGGGGCGAACATCCTCTTCACCACCAGTGGGGCGTCGTTGCGCGCGGCGGCCACGAGGGGGCGGCAAAGCCTTGCAAATGCTTTTCCAGGAACGGGGATGAACTTTGCCTCCCGTGAGGAAAAGGAAAAGGAAAGGAAAAGGGCGGCGCGGCTCCCTCGGAAGGCCTGCGGGTCTCAGCGCTTTTGCGCGCACGGAAGGGGCAGGGGCTGTTTTTCTGCATCGCTTCTTTTATTTATTCCGCATTTCTGCACGCCCATCGCAGAGCCTCGCGACGGCTTACATAAAATAAACAAACATAATACAAATAAAATCCAGATTCTACCCGTGCGGAACACGCAAAAGGCTGGGAGGGTTGGCACAAAGGTTTCCCTTGCTACCTCTGTGCCAACGGATACCGGGTTTCCCCGTGTCTTCCCGCAACTTTCCTGCCTTTCCCCTAACTGGAAACGTCCTTTAAGGACGGGGCGAGTCCTTGCCAACACTCCCCAGAGGTCGCCCGGCGCCAGCTCTGCACGCTTTTCGGCACCGGGCGAAACCCTTTTTATTCGCCGGTTTTAAGGCGGATCCGGTCTTGATGTGGGCTTAATTTTATTGGGCTTCTTGGAGGCTGTGCTCCAGTTTATTCTGTTTTTATGGCAGGCTCCGCACCACACGCCCGTCCCTGGCCCGGAAGGGCCGCCCAGGCCGCCCCGTCTGCCCCGGGGGCCGAGGCCCGGGGAGGTCGGTGTCCGACGGGGCACCGCGCAGCCTGGGCTCGGTAGTCCTCCTCGCGGGGAGGGTGCCTGGCTGAGCGGGGGCCGGAGTCCTCCGGGGGGCTTCGCGGGGCTCGGCGCGGGCGACGCGGGTCCGCGGGGCCTTTAAGGGACCAACAAACGCGGAAGGCGGCGGCACATGGGCGGCGGAGTCCCTCCCCGGGCGCGCGGGCGCGCTCAGCGCGCTCCTCGCGGGGCGCGCCCGCGTCTCCCGGCGGGCACTCCGGGCCCAGCATCCCCGGCCGCCGCCTCCTCCGCCGCCGCCCCGCCCCGCCCGGCGCCCCGCCCCCCCGGGCCCCGCCCCCGCCGAAGCCGAGCCGAGGCCAAGCCGAAGCCGGAGCCGGAGCCGGACCCCCCCCGGAGCCCCGAGCAGCCCTCGCT